CGCCAGCCCCGCCCACACCCTTCAGCCTCCATAGGACCTTCTCTTACCCAGGTCGCGTCCCCTCCTTTGACCCCTCACGGGGTAGGGGGCGCCGGCTGACGACCAGCGTAGAGGCCATTTCCAAAATGTGTGACCAGGTGGCCCAGTTCAAGTCTCGCGACCCCCAGCTGGCTTTGGTTTTGAACAGCATGGTTTGTGTAGCTGTGGAAGAATAACGGGGTTAGACAAAAGGGCCATTAATTCCTGGACTTTTAAAATTTCTCTTGATACCCTTGAAGGTTAGCGGCTTGTGGTTAAGATGCGCCTTTTGCTGAGTGCGTGCAGGTCCCTGGCGCGAGCCTCTAATGGGTCAGTGGCTCTCGTGCTGGCAGCTCGGGCAAGGACAGCGGGAGCGCCCCAGACCCCTGCCTCCCTGGCTCTGGGCCGGCCAGCGCAGTTTCCCTGCGGGGAGAGAAGCAGCCCAGACGGCCTTCGCGCTGGCGGAACGGAAGGACGTCTCTGGGCCATGCCGAGCATCCAAGTGTGCTCTACTTTGTTCAGCATGTCCAGGAAGGAAGGAGACTCCGCTAGGAGGTAGTCGGGTCTGACAGCAGGCGAAGAGGTGTTTGGGACAAGGCCGGGCAGCAGAGGCACCGGAGCACCCACGTCTTCACTGGTCCCAAACACTGGGCAGCTCCCTCATCAAGGCCTTTGCACTCCTCAGGGGCCACGCTGACCACTCAGGGGATGTCAAGCCCTGACCATCACCCTCGGCCTCCTTATCCTGCTCAAGTCGCCTCCAAAGGGAAACCACTGCTTGACTTACTACATATTTGTTTACCATCTGTCTCCTCAGTTTGGGAGGGGGTGTGTCCCTAGTTATCCCCAGTGCCTGAACTGAGTTCAGCACATCACATGGAGGGGCTGAGTGCATTTCCCTGGAGTCACCAGGCCCAGCTCTGCAGGCTAAGGGTGAGGGGTCTGTCCAGGTTCTGATCCACCCCTCGCTGGAGGATGGGCTGGTCTTCGTGAGGGAAGGAACAAGGGTCCTGAGGCAGCTCTTCCTGCAGCCTGAGAGGGATACAGGCCCGGCGGTGGTGTGTGAGGTGGAGGCTGAGTGGTGGGTGGACTTTGAGTGCCTTCTAATTAGTGGCCATGCTGGGCTGACACACGGGGGCTGAAGCCCACAGAGTTGACTGCAAAGTCTTCGGTCCAAGTTTCAGATCCAGGGAAAGAAACTCGGACAGCTGCTGCCTCCTCAGCAGGCGGAAGGGTGCGGTGGCTGGAAGAGGGTCAGGAGAGGCACCTTAGTGGGCCTGGTCAAGAGCATGCTCTCTGCCAGACCCCACCCAGCCTCTGAGCCCAGGCAAGATGCTGAGCAGTCCCCAAGGTCAAGCACAGGGTGGGAGGAGAAGTGGCGTGGTGCCCTCTGCTAGCTGAGACTGGGCAGGTCTCAGAATCTTCCGTGTACATTCCCAGCGAGCAGCGTGGGGTGGGTCACAGATGGCCCAGACTTGCTGCCTCCCTGGAGAGAAGCTCCCAGAAGCAGAGATATACGAGTCTTTCCGGGGACACAAGTGGCCACAGCTCTGGGGGTGGGGCTGTGCTAAGGACCGAGGGAAGGGACAGCCAGGGTGGAGGTTCTGGGGATGGGAAGGACCTGGGTGCGCCCCCTCCCCACAAAGAGAGGCAGAGAGACTGTTCTCTGGGCTAGGTCAGGATGCCAATGCCAGGCCAGAGACCCAGCAGGTCCAATGGGCACCTGTACTGGCTTCAGTTCAGAGCTGCAGATGTGCCCTGCAGAGGGTCCAGGGCCACATGCACCCTGCGCGCCTCTTGGAGCCTGGGGGGTTGGGGGTGATGGAGTAGGAAGTCGCTGGGTTGCCCAAGGTGTGGCCAGCACAGTGGGATCTGGGGGCCCAGGGCTGTTATTGCTGTGAGGAAGGAAAGGCCCATGTTTGGGGAGGGTTGGGGGGCACAGGACATGAAGCTGTGCAAGTGGGTAATTTGGAGACTCACCTGGGGAACGCTGAAGGGGCTGGGCTGTGTTTTCAGTGGTTACTCTGGCAGGGGCTGCCCTAGGGAGAATGCCTGGAGGGGGTTGAGTCTGGGAACCGGGGTAGTGGGGAGCCCCTCCCGGTTGCCCCAGAGTGGAAGGTGCTTCCCACCTGGCAGGGCGTGGAAGGGAGTGAGCAGTGCCCGGGGAGTCAGAGAGAGGGAGATGGGAGGGTGCAGCTCCCCGTGGAGCCCGTCCCCTCCCTCCAGGATCCCCCCATCTCCACCCTCGCAATCAGACTCAGGAGGGAACGCGGTGTGAAATCACTGTGATGTTTATTGGCTGTGATTCCATCCAAGAGAACACACGCGAGGGCCCCCGTCATGCAGGAGGAGGCGCAGGAGCAAGGACAGACGGATGACGGACTGACAACATCCAGGGTCTACGCTAGACTCGGCTGCCCCGGGACGCCCCATGCGCTGGGAACGGGATGCGGAGTTCCTACGAGACAACGCCCTGTCTGCTTGGAGCTGGCTTTTAGTAACTGTGAAAACAGGCATTTAAAAAAGACGGGGACTGAAAGGAGTCAGAGAGGGGACGCAAGACGAGCAACACGGGCGCGGGGCGGGGCGCGCACACACAGGGCGTGGGCGGGTACACGCGGCGGGGCGCACACACCCGGGCTGAGCGCAATTACGGGGAGGAGCGGGCGGGACAGGACGGGGGCACCGGTGGGGAGCTCCGGGCAGCTGGCTTTGAACAGAGGAGCGTCTGTGGTTAATATTGCGGTCTAATTGTTATGGCTTTTCTAAAGAGCTATGTAAGGTCATGGAGGTCAATGTCAAGCCAAGCCCCTGCCCGCAACACGTGGAGACTGTGGGCGGATCGTTACGTGAACAGAAATGGCCCTAGGGGGACCGAGGCCTGGCCTTTCTGTCCAGATAAAAATCCTCAAATACCGAAGACCTCATTTACCTGAGATTCAATATATGGTGATGGAAATTAAACAAGGGGGAGGACGGAGGGGCTCCGGAGGCTCGGGGGATGAGGAAGGGGCGCCCGGCCGGGGTGGAGTGTGATTAGGTCAAACTCTGCCTAGGCTGCGCCCAAAGACACCACGCAGGCCCCCAGCCCCGTGGCTGCACCCCTGCCTGGCACTGCCCACACGCCTGCGGAGGCCCCGGGGCGCCGAGGAGGGGACGGGCTGGGTGATTTGTCTCCCTCCGTATAAACACGTTCAAACGCACCCCACCTGGGGCCGGAGCGCTCCTGCTGACAGTGTGGGTGTCCTCAGGATGAGGACAGGGGTCCCGGGCCGAGATGGGGACAGGACTGGAGGTGTCAGCGAGGAAGGGGAGTGGGCTGGGCTCCGGGGTCCACTTGGTGCTGGGCCAGTGTTCTCCAGGGAAAGGCCAGAGGATGGAGGTGTGAGAGCTGTAGAAGGTGTGTGTGGGAGAGAAACTCCATGTGTGAGAGACTCCGTGTGTGTGCGGGGGGGATCTCCGTGTGTGTGTGTGTGTGTGTGTGTGTGTGTGTGTGTGTGACTCGATGTGTGAAAGAGAGGGACTCCGTGTGTGTGAGAAAAGACTCCCTGTGTGTGCCACAAGAGGTATGTGTGTGTGTGACTCCATGTGTGTGTTAGAGGGAATGTGTGTGTGTGTGGTACTCCATGTGTGTGACTCCATGTGTGTATGAGAGGGACTCTGTGTAACTCCGTGTGCGTGCGTGTGTGTGCGTGTGTGCACGCGCCACACTCGGGTGTGTGAGAATTTCCCCCCTAAACCTACTGCTTAGTTTCCTCATCGCTTGGCGAGAGCACGGCCACAGAACAGGATTCCTAAGGAGCAAAGCCTTCGGAGGAGGAGGGAGGGAGAGAGGGAGAGAAGGACAGACAGACAGGCGGACAAATAGGATGTGAGAATGGCGCAGATGGCTGGGCCTCAAGTGGACACACACAGACGAAACGCAGAGAACAGAGGCTGATGCGGTCTGGCCAACCAGGTGTCAGAGTCGCTGGCGGGAAGAGGGTTGGGGCCCAGGCCGACCGGGAAGGGGAGGGGCTTCGCACACCTGCCCCAGGGCGGGGCAGCACGAGCTGCTCCCCCTCCCCCAGCCACATGACACCCCTCCCCCTATGGCTGTGCTCCTGAGTTTGGGCCTGGACCAGCACCCACCAACGCAGGGGCGGTGCACTGAGGGGTGGTCGAGAAGCTGGCCCTTTCCATGGCCCTGGCCTTGGGCGCTGCTGGGTGGGCGGTGAAGGGCCGAGCAGGAGGGGCATCCTGGCTGTGGGGATAGGCCGTTTCCCCTTGGCAAGAGTTGCAGGTGGGTTCGTCCTGGGCCTCCGACACTGGCTGCAGGTGGCTGGGGCCCTGGGGGTTGGGTGCCCCTCGCCGGGAGGTGTCTATGGCACTGGCTGGGTGGTAGGGGACGGAGGCTCCCAAGGCGTGAGGGGGCAGGGCGGATAAGACCTAGGACTATGGCTTATGTTGGCATTGGGGGGCTGCAGTCTGCTCCCAACATCCCTTCAGGGGCCTCTGCGGAAGGGTGTGTATAGGGCTGGGGGCGGCGAGCAGGGCAGTGGGGGTGGTGGGGGCTCCAGCTCGGGCCAGCGGATGTCCATGCCCGGGTTGTTACTTCTTGAACATATCCTGGAGAGGCCCCGGCAGGTACTTGATGACGGTGTCCAGGATGCCCTCGTCCTCCTCCTCCCGCTCATCCCCGCAGCCTGGCGGGATGGCCTTCTTGGGCCGTGTCAGGCTGCCTTCTGAGTCGGCCTCCATGGCGGCCTGGGCCTCGGCCTCACGCTCCTCCTTCTTCTTGATACCGTACTGTGGGGGGAGAGGGCGAGGTCAGGCAGGGCGGGGAATCTGGGGAACTGAGCACACCCCAAAAAGGGCAAGACCCTGGGGTCCCAGCACCCCGTTTCCCATCCTTGACTCAGGGTGCACCCCGTACTGGGGAGGGCTTGGCATGGGTCCCTGTACTTGGAGGGCTTTCCAAGGAGGCAGGGAGCAGTGGGGAGAATCACCCAGTGGCTCCGCTGCCGACCTGCCCCACCCAGCCCAGCCCAACTCCTAGCTGGGTGCCAGGCTGGTCGCACCTACACATAGCCAAACCCCACCACCACCTGCCCCCCATCCCTGGCAGGGATGCTCTGCACCCAGTCAGCACTGCAAAGCTGGCAGACATCTGGAAACCCTACCAAGTTGTGGCCTTGGGCTAACACACCTTGTTATAGATTGAATTGTGTCACCCAAAAAGATGTGTCAAAGTTCTGACCCCCAGTACCTGTGAACATGTGACCCTGTTTGAAAATATGTCCTTCAAAGATGCTCTCCGATAAGTTAACAGGAGGCCAGACCAGAACAGGGTGCGTCCTAATCCTATATATATAAAAAAAAAAACCCATTGCCGACGAGTCCGTTCCTACTCATGGAGACCCCATGTGTTAGAGTAGAACTGCCCTCGTAGGGTTTTCTCGGCTGTAATCTTTATGGAAGCAGATCACCAGGCCTTTCTTTCTTCCATGGCGCCACTATGTGTGTTCGAACTGCTAACCTTTAGGTTAGTAGATGAGCACCAACCATTTGCACCACCCATATAATCCTATATAAGTGGTGTCCTCATGAAAGAGAAGAGACAGAGAGACACAGACAGCAAGGTGACCGCTGAGTTATGCTGCAGAGGCAAGTCAGGGAATGCCTGGGGCTACCAGAAGCTGCGAGAGACAAGAAAGGTCTTTCCCTAGAGGCTTCAAAGGGAGCCTGGCCCTGCTGACACCTTGAATTCAGACTCCTAGCCTCCAGATGGAGCCCTAGTGGTCAGTGGTTGAGTGGTTAAGAGCTCAGCTGCTAACCAAAAGGTCAGCAGTTTGAGTCCACCAGGCAATCCTTGGAAACTCTATGGGGCAGTTCTACTCTGTCCTATAGGGTCACTATGAGTCGGAATCGGCTCAACGGCAGTGGGTTAGTTAGTTAACCTCCAGAATTGGGAGACAATACACTTCTGTGCTTATAAAGCCACCCAGTTTGTGGTACAGGCAGTCCCCGGATTACCAACGTCCAACTTACGTACAACCCATGGTTCCCGGTAAAGCCTATTATAATAAAAATTTTAGGTACATACAATGGCTCATAATAATGAACAGGCACTACTTTACGATGCGCATCAAAACATCATTATTATTATTACTGTATTATTATGTTAAAGACGTTTTAGTGTGTCTGGAAGTGTTTCTTTAATTTTTTTATGCATAGAAGGGAGCCCTGGTGGTGCAGTAGTTAAAGAGCTCGGCTGCTAACCAAAAGGTCGGCAGTTTGAATCCACCAGCCGCTCCCTAGAAACCCTATGGGGTAGTTCTACTCTGTCCTATAGGGTCGCTATGAGTCAGAATCGATGGCAACGGGTTTGGTTTGGTTTTTTATGCATAGAAAGGTATACTATATACTAAGACAAACATTTGACTGACTGATGTTAGATATGAACCGTACCTAACTGTTCCAACTTACGTACAAATTCGACTTAAAGTCAGACTCAGGAATGGAACTCGGCCATAATCCGGGGACTGCCTGTGCTTTGTTACAGCAGCCCTACCACATTAACTCATATCTGGACACCCCTGAGCACCCCTCCCCCTCAGTGCACCCTCTTCCCTCTCCATCCTCCCATCTCCTGGGTATGTCTCTGCCTTAAGCCCTTATCCAAGTCTTCCCAATAGTGTCCCCCCAAATTCATGTCCTCCTGGAACCTCAGAATGTAACCTTATTTGGAAATAGGGTCTTTGCAGATGTAATCAAGTTAAGATGAGGTCATACTGGAGTAGACCAAAACCCTGTTGCCTTCGAGTTGATTCTGACTCATGGCGAACCTACAGGACAGAGTAGAACTGCCCCATAGGGTTTCCAAGGAGCAGCTAGTGGATTTGAACTGTCAACCTTTTGGTTAGCAGCCAAGCTCTTAACCACTGCACCACCAGGGCTTCTACTGGAGTAGGGCGGGTCCCAGATCCAATGATTGATATCCTTATAAGAGAGAGAAAAGGAGAAGACTCAGGGAAGATGGCCACATGAAGACAGAGGCAGAGACTGGAGATACGAGCCAAGGAACGCCAAGGATTGCTAGCAGCCTCCCGAAGCCAGGAGAGTCTCCCCTAGAGCCCCAGCAGGAACCAGCCCTGCCAACACGGATTTTGGACTTCTGGCCCAAGAGGGGAGGAGGCTTGGAGTTTGTCTGCACTCCCTCAGCAGGGGTCCCAGGCAACCCCCAACCCTGGCTCTGCACCCTCAACAAGAGCTGGGAGTGCTGGGAAGGTCCTGACAAGCCTGTGACGCAGCGACCAGGAGCATCAGTGAGCACGTCACCTGCAGGTCATGGCACAGTGGGGACACAGCACTCCAGCCACAGAGCGTCCTGCTGAGCTGAAGGGCAAGAGGGCTGATGAGAGGCTAATGCATCCCAGACACTGAAGCGGGCATGCCCGGCACTGCGGGCCTCTTCCCGGGACCACCTCCCCTCCCGTTGGGCAGCAGCCCCTGGGCCCAGAACGGGGACAAAATGCAGCCCGTGTCCTGTGGGGCTGGCGGGGCTGTGTGTGGGCAGGAGGCAGACACCACCAGAAACTAGGTCAGACAGAGCTTCCCTCCAGCCAGGGCGGAGGAGGCTCCCCTGGCTGGGAGGGCTGTCTGTGCACACAGCAGGAACACACAGAGGATGTGGGCTGGCTCAGGAGGCTGGCTGCCCGAGGTGTACACTCAGGGAACACGCAGTGCTGGAGGGAACACGTGTGTAACTGCTGGTGGGAACATATGTGTAATAGTGGGAACATGTGGTGCTGGCATATGACTGAGCAGAGGCACCTCCCTGACCTACCTGCAAACAGAGGGCTGGGGTCCTCCTTCAGGAGGTGTCCAGGAAAGAGACCCCAGTACCCCCCCCAACAGGTCACTCTGAGCTTGACCTGAAGCACCTGTCACTCCACTGAGGTTCAAGGTCATGGTGAGGTCAAGTTCACCCTGGGCTGTACCTGAGGGTCACAGTTATTGTGCCTGGGGCTAGGGGCTTCTGAGTGGGGGTCCACCAGAGGCATCTGAGCCCCAGAGGCAAATGCCCCTCAGCTCCTGCGCCATCAGCCATTGCCCCTTGGGGTGACTCCCTGGCTGTTTACCAGTGATGTGGATTGAATTGTGTCCCCTCATAATGTGTGTCGACTTGGCTAGGCCATGATTTCCAGTATTGTGTGGTTGTCCACCATTTTGTGATCTGATGTGATAATCTTATGTGTTATAAATCCCAACTTCTATGAGCCAGAATCAACTCGATGGCAATGGGTCGGGTCTAATGACATTAATGAGGCAGGATTAGAGGCAGTTATGTTAACGAGGCAGGACTCAGTCTACAGGATTAAGCTGTATCTTGAGTTAATCTCTTTTGCCATATAAAAAGAGAAGTGAGCAAGGAGGAGAGGGACCTCATTACCACCATGTAAGAAGAGCCGAGAGCACAGCTTGTCTTATGGACCCAGGGTCCCTGTGCTGAGAAGCTCCTAGACCAGGGGAAGATTGATGGCAAGGACTTTCTCCCAGAGCTGACAGAGAGAAAGGCTTCCCCTGGAACTGGCACCCTGAATTCGGACTTCTGGCCTCCTAGACTGTGAGAGAATGAACTTCTGTTTGTTAAAGCCATCCACTTGTGGTATTTCTGTTATAGCAGCACTAGATGACTGTCATGGATTGAATTATGTTTCCCCAAAAATGGGTGTATCAATTTGGCTGGGCCATGATTCCCAGTACTGTATGATTGTGTACCATCTTATAATCTGATGTGATTTCCTTATGTGTTGTAAACTCCATCACTATGATCTAATAAGATGGATTAGTGGCAGTTATACTGATGAGGTTTACAAGATTAGATAGGGTCTTAATCCAATCCCTTTTGAGATATAAAAGAGAGAAGTGAGCAGAGACACCTGGGAACCTCATACGACAAAGAAAGCAATGCCAGGAGCAGAGCATGTCCTTTGGACCTGAGGTTCTTGCGCTGAGATGCTCCCAGACCAAGGGAAGACTGACACACCACAAGGACCTTTCTCCAGAGCCGACAGAGAGAGAAAGCCTTCTCCTGGAGCTGATGCCCTGAATTTGGACTTACAGCCTACTGGACTGTGAGAGAATAAACTTCTCTTTGTTAAAGGCATCCACTTGTGGTATTTCTGTTATAGCAGCACTAGATGACTAAGACAACCAGGAACACTGGGAACACTGGCCACAGGAGGCATCCAGCCATCCTTGCCAACCACTAGACATCACTTTGAAGAGCCAGGCCACCAACACTGAGACAGCAGGGACCCCCACCCCACCCCAGGAGCACCTGCTGGGACGGGAGCCCAGGGCAGCTAGTGCCCCAGACGCGCTGAGAACCTGACATTCACAAGGGAGACGCTAAGTCTTGACAACAGAATGTTCAGAAAAGAAGGGCATCAGAGCTGATCAATGGGAACATCAACAGCAGTTGTCATCATCTTGCAAACCTCAGCCTGAACCCCAAGTGATTTTAAGGGGGTGTGGGGAGGGCCAGGGGGCCGGGTGGGTGCCCAGGCCCACAGCTCTGTGCCTGGAGGAGGGGACTGGGCCTCATCCCCTCCCCAAACGGGGTTCTGGCTCAGAAGCTGTAGAACGTGGGCGGCTGGAAGCATGAAAATCAGGTGGTGGATATGCAACTCTGGTGATGCATATGCAAATGAGGCAGTGGACATGCAAATCAAGCACAGGTGGGCCAAGCCTCCCCTTCCTCAGCTAGGACCTGCCCAGATGGCCTTGTAATGAGGCAGGGGAGGGGAGAAGCCACCCCTTCTTCCTTCCCGGCACTGCCTGCTAGCCCCCAGCACCCACCCTCTGAGATGGGAAGTCATGCCTGTCCACTTCTCTCATTTAAGGATATCTGCTTCCCTAAGCACCCTGAGTGGACGCATGACCTCAGCTAGGCCTCATGGCCCTTCTGCAGAGGAAGGCATTGGACTAGGCCGTGTGGGCCCCTCTGTCCTGTCTGACTAGCAGGGCTGAGTGGCCTAGGAGGGGAGCCCCAGACCAGGGCAGGGCAGGAGGGGGCAAACGCTGGTGAGGGGGCACCCTATGGAGAACAGAAGAGCAGCCCAGGAGGAAGGTGTCTTTGGAAAACAGTGAGAGACGGTGTTGGGTGTCAGGGTGTCTGGGATAACTAGGCCTTCCATGGAGCGGAGGCTGGGGTTCTGGCAGCTGTGTGGAGCCAGGTGGGTTGATGGAGGAAGCTTCCATCATCTTTAAATAGTTCTGTGAGCAGGTGTGAGGCTCGGGGGCTCCCTTCGGTCTCCCATGTTCCCGCTGGGCCCAGATGAAGTCAGGAAAGGAGCCTGGGGCCGGGGTGCCAGTTCCTGCAGGGTCGCTGTGGGACCCTGGCAATTGCTCCCTCCCTTCCCCGGCTCCGCTTCCTTACCTCCCCCATCTGGGCTAGGGAGCCCTATTTTGTTGTTTTAACTTGCTTGTCTATGTGGTTTCTCCCTTCTCTTCCCCACATCAAGCCCGTTACAGACTTGTTGAATTTGCTGGTAAGATCAGTTTCTCCCCAATTTCCAGGAAATTAAGTGAAAACAGGGTGGTGGAGATGACGAACTTCAGGGGTCTTTCCTGGGGCTCCGAGTTCCTAAAAGGCTGAGAGGCAGGGCGGGCAGCTGGCTGGTGTCCAGAACTATCCGGCCAAGCAATGAGACCCCAGCCCGAGGCAGCCAGGCCAGGCCCCCACGGAAACCTGCCTCAGTAATTCCATGACCTTGGGCGCCCGAGTCCTGCATCCAAGCCCCGAGCTCATGGGGCCCTGGGGGCTGGAGCCGGGACCTCTGGCCTCACAGCGAGAGATCCTGAAGAGGATCCTCTCACCGAGCCCGAGGGCCATGGCCTTCTCGCGGTGACCATCACTGTCCAGGTCCCTCTGTCCCCTGGCCCTGATGCCCAGTGCAGCCCTCGTCACTGTTCCGCCCGCCCTGGGCTGGGGACGCAGTTCCTGGGACAGGGCCTGGGTGGGGCTAAAGCAGCTTCTCCCCCACCCCGGAGGTCCTCAGGAGGCTGGGGGGGAACTGAGGGGGTGTGTGCACGGCCACCAGGGAGCGCCCTGCCCTCGCTGGTCAGTGGGGTGGCTCTGCCTCCACTTCCCCTGCAGCCCCCACTGTAAGACCTACCTGCCGGCCTCTCCCACCACTAGGACCACTTCCCTATTCTATCGGGGGTGGGGCAGGTGCCTCCTGCAGGCCTGGGGGCTCCTTGGAGGGAGGGGCAGAGCCAAATTCTGGAAGGGCCCAAGACGTCCTTGGGTCCAGAGTGAGGCCCGCAGAGGCGTCCCCTGTCTGGGATTCCAGTATCCCAGTCTGCCTCAGACCCAGACCCCGGGAAGGGGGGCTCACCCTCATCCGCATCTCCCCGCACGCTCCATGCCTGGCTCGGCCACCATCAACGCCAGCAGGGGCTCTCAGAGTCCACCCACAGGAGGCTGAGGGGTGGGCGCGGCATTCAGGGCACTCAGGCAGCCCCACCTGAGCCCGGAGCCTGCATGGTGCTCCCCTAGGGTGGGGGCCCAGGAAAGGCCCGTCCCCCTGCCCTCGTCTATGCCCCACCCCCACCTGCTGGGCCCCACAGGACACCTGGCTTGGACTGGGTGGTCTCACAGGTTGGACGAGGGGCCCTGAGCTGGGGCTGGGGTCTCAAGGACCCCAGTGCCCGCCTCCTGCCCCTCAGCCACCTTCTCACTCAGGCCGTTGTGTGGGAGCCCTTCCCATCCACATGCCTGTGTTTTCTGTCCTGGGGCTTGTCTCTGTAACTCTGCACGCCAGAGAGACATGTGCTGTCTGAGCCTGCCCGTCCCTGGTGGGCCAGGGAGTTCAGATTCTGAGGGACACCTTGGACACACAGGGACCTGGGAGGCAATGGGATCAGCACGTCCCTGCAGGAGTGACCTCCCAGCCCACCCTCCTTCTTCCTCTATCTCTCCCCACACCAAGGACTGGACCAGGGACGAGCGTGGCTGGATGGGTGGGGGCTGGCCTTGGAGGGCACCCAGCCTGTGTGAGCCGTGGGACTTGACCTTGTCCCGCTCACCACCCCACTGAGCGGACTCTGTGAGGGCGCCCGGGAGGTGAGGGGCATCCTGGCTCCAGACCCGGCCCCCAGGGCTAGAAGTCAGTCTGAAACGCAGAGTGAAGATTCGGCCTGAGAAGGGGGTGCCCTGCCGCTCGGCTCAGGAATAAGTGATGTGGGATGGATCCTTTCTGATCAAGGCCTCTAAGCCACCATGGACGACCTACCAAAGAAAGCTGAGGCCTCTGCGGAGGTGCTGCCACAGCCCGCTGGGAGCTGATGCCGGCCAACAGCTGGGTGGCCGCTCAGCCCACAGCCTGTCCGCCTCAGGGCTGACCACACCTGGGCGGAGTAGAGGGCGCCACCCACCTCCGCCAGGGAAAGGCGACCAGCAAAGGCTCAGTCCAGGCAGACTCGGCCCTACTGTGTCCAGGGACACCCCCACTCAGCTGTCCCTACGTTCCACAGACACCTCACACCTTCCACTCTACAGACAGACAGACAAACCTGAATACGATCGCTTCGGTGGGGCCCAGGCACCCAAGAAGTTCCCAGCCCTCTCCCTTACCCCCCTTCCCCATCGCTCTGTGTCCCTCAGCAGCACCCCCCATTCCTATGGTGTCTCCCCTCTCAGCTCTATCTCTGTCTGTGTCTCTCTCTCTTCCTCCTTGCGACCCTAATACTCCCCGGCATGTTTTCTCCTTTTCAAAACGAGCAGCTGAGAGCTTGGCATAACTGACGCCATGATGAACCTTTAAGTTTCTTTTTTTTCTTTGCCTTCTCCCTTTTCGCACACCTTTGTCACTGGCTTTGTTTTATGACTTAGGATCCCCCACAGGAAGCTAGAGCCCAGATGTCAGATCCGTCCATCTTTAGCCCAATAAGGAAATGTCTGATTGCTTATCTCTTGTATGATACAGACTCTCTTGTAACCTTGTAAAGAATAACAACGCTTCTAACCTTTGTAAAAATCATATATAAGCGCTAATGTAAAAATGTCTTTTGGGACTCCCGAAAGACAGCCTGCGTTGCTGTTGGGTCCCCAGTGGTGTACACTTCCTGAATTAAAACTTTCTCCCTCTTTCTGACTTGGAGTATGTTTCATTGGCGCGATTACTCCAGGGCAAGGGCCCGATTCGGGTAACACTCTTTGTTCTGTTTGTCACTCTGTGTCTGTCTCTCTTTCTGTCTTCCCGTCTCACTTTCTCTCTCTCTTCCTCCCTGTCTCTCTCTCTTCTCTGTATCTGCCCCCCGCCCCCTGCTGCACCCCTTGCTTCCTTCCTGCCTTCCCCCTCCGCCTGCCTGCCCTTTCCCAACACTAACATCTGTGTCTCCCGGTTCAGGGTCTAGGGATCCAGCTGCAGCTCCCGGCCATGAGTCTGCAGTCTGACTCACTGCAGCTAGAGTCCAGGGAGCTGGGGGTCTGTCCCAGTTTCTGTAGGCCCTTCCAGGAACGGTGTCCAGTGAACGTGCTGGCCGGGGTGCCACCCCACCGCTCCCACCCAACCATCTGCTCCCTGGCCCATGACGGGAGGGCCACGAGTAAGCAGCTGGCACCACCCAGCTGACCAGTGGCCACACTGTTCTTATCTCTGATGGAGGGAGGGGCTGTCATACTATTGACACCCACTCAGGCTGCTCTGAACCAGTGTCCGCCTCCCCCACCTGCAGGGAGCCCCTCCCCAGGAGGGCAGCGCTAACATGACCTGCCCACAGCTGACACCCAGCTTCACCTCTATGAGCTGAGGGCCTCCCGGTGCTGCGCCCGAGCCCCAGAGGAGGCATTCAGTGATGGCTACCGACTCCCTTTCCCCACCAGCACCAGGAGGGGGTGGACTTCCATCTGTCTAGCCTCCAGCCCTGCTAACCCATCTGTCTGTCCATCCATCGTCCATCTGTCCTTGCAGAACTAGTTCATGGAGACCAAGATGGGAGGGGGAGGCCCAGCCCCTGGAGGCCCCCGACTGGTGGCCAAGGAGGGAGAAGGGACAGCAGAAAGAGGGCCCAGGGCAATCCTGAGCACTAAAGTCTTCACTCAGGACCTGCCTCCCTCACCTGAGGGCTGGGTCACCACTGCTCACCCCAGACGCGAGACCCACTGGTGCCCACCATCTCTGCCCAGGGTGTTTTCCTCGGAAGTCAAGGCTGTGAGCTCCCCTGGCCAGCAGCCCTTGTGAACACCCCAGGTGTGCCTGCACCCCCACCTTGTCCTGGATGCCCCAGGTGTGCCCCACATACCCACTCATCCTGGATTCCCCAAGTGTGCCCACACCCCCACCTTGTCCTGGACACCCAGGTGTGCCCCACACCCCCACCTTGTCCTGGACACCCAGGTGTGCCCCACACTCACCTTGTCCTCGATGCCCAGGTGTGCCCACACCCCCACCTTCTCAAGGTTGCCCCAGGTGTGCCTGCACCCCCACCTTGTCCTGGACACCCAGGTGTGCCCGCACCCCTACCTTGTCCTGGACACCCAGCTGTGCCCACACCCACCTTGTCGCGGATGCCCTGCCGCATGACCTCGCGCTCAGCCTCCATCTTGGCGTACTTGGCCTTGCGCTCCTCCTCCTCCTGCCGCAGAGCCTCTTGTCGCTCCTCCTCCTTCTTGGCCGCATCCGGGTCCTTCTCCTCGTCACCCCCAAGCATCTTCCCCATGTCTTTGGTGGCCCCTGGGGACAAAAGGCCGCTGAGTCGGGGCAGCCCCCATGAGGTCGGGGCCCAGAACAGGCCGTTTCCCGCCCCGTGGGTAGAGGTCCTTCTGCAGCAGAGCACAGCCCTGCTTATCCCGGAGACAGCAGGCCCGTGTGTAGGGCTCCTTGGCTAAAGTCTCCCTCAGTCGCTCACTTCCTACCCTCCCAGGCCCTTCTGCCCTCCCCAGGTTCTAGCATTTTCTACTCCATCAAGGGATGTGTGGCATTTGGTATGTGTTAGGGGGCAGGAAGAGGTGTGAGGGTGCAGAGATGTCGGTTTGTAAGAGTCAGAGAAGTGTGGTTGTGTTGTTCGCGTTTGCGTTGTGGTTGTACGTGGTTGTGTGCGTGGTTTGGTGGTTGTGTTTACGTGTCTATTTTGTGTGTATGCATTTGCGCGTATTTTTGTGATTGCGTGTGTGCTTGTGTGCGTGTGTGTTTGCGTGTGTGTGTGTGTGGCTGTGTGTTTGTTTTGTGGTTGCAGGTTTGTGTGTGTGATTTCATGTATGTGAGGTTGTGTGGTTGTGTTGTGTGGTTGTGTGCATGTACAGTTGCATGTGTGTGGCGGTGGTCTAGTTGTGTGTGTGGTTGCATGTGTGTCTCTGTGTGTGGCTGTGTGCCTGCGCGGTTGCGTGTGTGTCTCCGTGTCTCTATGTGTGTCTGTAATTGTATGTGTGTATGGGTGTGGCTGCGTCTATGTGTGTGGCTGTGTGTGGTTACACGTATGTGTAGCTGTGTGTGTGGTTGTGTGCATGTGTGGTTGCATGTGTGTGGTTGTGTGTATGAAGCTGTGTGTGTGTGTCTGTGGTTGTGTGTGTCACTGTGTGTGGTTGTGTGTGTAACTGTGTGTGTGGCTGTGTGTGTGTGGCTGTGTGTGTGTGGCTGTGTGTGGCTGTGTGTGTGTGGCTGTGTGTGTGTGTGTGTGTGTGGCTGTGTGTGTGTGGCTGTGTGTGTCTGTGTGTGTGTGTGTCTGTGTGTGTGTGTGTGTGTGTGTGTGGCTGTGTGTTTAGCTCTGTGTGTGTGGCTGTGTGTAGCTGTGTGTGTATGGCTGTGTGTATGTGTGGCTGTGTGTGGTTGCCTGTGAGCTCCTGGAGGCTCTGTGTGTCTTCTCTGGGGTCCCGTGTCCGGCAGAGGGTCAGCCTCCTGAATGGTAGTGGAACATGTAGACTGAGGGGCACGGTGTGGGGAACGTGTCTGGTGAGCAGGCCTGTCGGGCTCTGACCACCGGCTTCCTCGGCCCTGACGTGGGTGCTGGTGGGCAGGGGCTGGGCCATGGCTGTACCGTGGGCTGCCAGCCACTGTGTGCCATCGACGCCAACGCCGTAATTTCTCTGCCGCGCCAGCTACCACTTTTCTCGTGATCTCGTGATTCACAGGCCCCACAAACCTCCCCGACCACCCTCTGACTCGGCCAGCAGGACAGAGACGCGTAATTACAGCCTCAGGGTGCGCCAGAACTGCAGCCAGCCTGGCCCTGGGTGGCTACAGGGAGCCGAGAGGCCCCACTGTGCCCAGCTCCCTGTGGACCACCTTCGTAGGAGACTTGTCACCAGGGTCTCTCCCCGTGTCTGCCCTTCACCCCCGCGATCCTGCAGGCCGGGACTGGTGCCCACCCTGCCCTGTTCTGATCCATCCTCTCCAGCCATTGTCCACCTGGCCTCTCCAGGTAGTGACTGCTCGCCTCCTCGTTGACGGCCCTAACTCTGTCCTCTGACCCCTGGTCACCAGACCTCATAAAGTCTGTGCAACGAACCCATAGAGGCTGGCTGGGTGCACACTTCAGAATAAACCATGGCCCATAAACCCCTAAATAGGTCTGTTTGGGTATGGTGCTGACGCCACCCCTCAACCACCGTGTCCAGAAGTCCCACCAACCCACCCCTGCCTTGCAGGCCCAGCTCTGTACCAGCCCCATTGGTCTCCCTGAATTCAGTGACCCTGTGTGCTGTGTTCCTGGTGCTGTCCGGCTACCGTTGCTACTCTGATGCTACAGGTCTAAGCAGCAGTGTACCCGTGGAGACTCCCTTCCTGCAGGAGCCTGTACCAAACACTGCCCTTGCTGGTTCCTCGGGAGACACCGCCCTCTCTCCTAGGGCAGAGAGTTGTTTGGAAGGCTACCAGCTGTTGGTGGGAAGAGAACAAATTTTTGTTGGTTCTTCCGGGCTGAAAACCGGATGTCCCTCAGGCCGGGCCATGCCCACACCACTTGCTTCTCTGCCCGGGATCACTGGCTGCCTGAGACTCAACCATAGAGGTGTGGAGTGTGGGGGGACCAGGGCCACTTGACCCCGTTGTCACTGTGGGGACAGGAGCAGCCTTGAACTGGGCTGATGCTGCACAAATGCTCTTTACCAGAAAAACACTTTGCAAAGCCGATTTCAGGCCAATGACTCCAGGGAAACTAGGTCACCGAGCAGACACTCAGAGATGTCTGCTAACAATCCCCCAGATAATGAGGCCAGAATCACGCTGCCTCCAGTTGGGAGGGGAAGGCGGGACAAAGCCCGCAATCCCAGGAGCAGTTACAGGCATGATCTTCTCAACTATCCTTGGCCTGTTGGCAACCCATGTGCAAACTAATTCACTCTAAAGGGAGAGTGGCCAATAGCTCTTTCTCCCTCCTGGAAGTGCAGGCATCTTACAGAGGATGGAAGCTGAGTCAGTCTCTACCCACCTCTCTCTCCTGAGAGAGAAGGAGTGTGGAATGGCTGGAGCAGGGGCTGGAGAGAGCACCCTGACCTGGGGGCTGTGCCTCTAAGCCTGCCCCTTCCAATGTATCACATGGGCTATTGGTCTAGTAAGGAGCCCTGGTGGTGCAAGGGTTAAGTGCTCGGCTGTTAACCGGAAGGTTGGCAGTTCAAACCATCCAGCAGCTCCGCGGGAGAAAGACCTTCTGTAAAGATTTACAGCCTTGGAAACCCTACGGGGCAGTTCTACTCTGTCACATGGGTCGCTATTAACTCAACGGCACCCAACAACAACAACACAGGTCTAGTAACTAAAGTAAGCATTTATGGAGCACCGACTGTGTGCTGGAACCTGCTGCCACTGGTGCCCGCCTGGGGTCCTACTGGCACTGCAGGAGAAAACTCCGAGGCCTTCCTGAGCCCTGGGCTGACCCCCTCGGCCAAAGGGGGCGTGAGAAGAACCCCTTTTAAGAAGGGGCAAGCTGGCCGGCTGACGGTGGGAGCCGTGGAGGAGGGGATCAGAGGACATTTCACCTCAGTATGGATTCCTGCTCACAGGCAGGCCCAAAGCCACTAAGTGTCCAAGTGGGGCCCTTCTTCAGGTGTGCACAGAGCGGCTGCGGCAGGGGGCTAAGAACCCGCCACGTGACCCGTTACGGCATGCATTGTGCCTACAGAAGCCCCTCAGGGCCGGGAATTAGAAGGCACAACCAGGACCACAGCAGAAACTGGGAGAAGCTTGTTGCTGACACAAAACCCTGAATGGGCCGTTTGCTCTCCTGGCGCCGACCACGAGCAGCCGGGTCACTGTGGTGTCCGGGTGCTGCTGCAGGTGGGGTGAGGGGTGCTCAGGGTTGTGCCTGGGGGTCCAGCCCCACAGCCCCTGCCTAATGCCCCGCACCCACTCCTGGACCCGCCCACTGGCCTCCCCTATCTGAGTTCCTCTTCTACCCTACGCTCCTGGGAGGAAGGCGCTGCCCTCCTCACCCCGTTCACAATGAGGAAACTGAGGCATGGAGTGGTTCCACATGTTGCCCTAGGCCAGGACATCCCACCCGCCGTGTTGCCCCATACTCTCACTAAGAAGCTACAAGCAGAAATGGACAATATTCCACTCGCAGTAACCCTAAAAATATAAAACAACTGAGGAATAAATTTAAGAAAGATACAGAGCCCACGTGAAGAAAATATCATCACCTTTTTAAGTTTTACGGTTTTGGTAAGATACACCGGATCCACGACCCAAAACCCACTGGGTCGAGTTGACTCCAACTCATAGCGACCCTACAGGACAGAGTAGAACTACCCCATAGCATTTCCCAGGCTTTAAGTCTTTACGGAAGCAGACTGCCACATCTCTCTCCTGCAGAGGCATTTTAAACCGCCAACCTTTGGGTTAGCAGCTGAGCGCTTTAACCAGTGCTCCACCAGGGCTCATGACAGACAGGCTTAATATCATAAGGATGTCAGTTATACCAAAATTAATATACAATTTTACATACTCTGGATGGTACTTCCTATTCAAACTCCAACAGTTTTTTTTTTCTCTGTTGGATTTGGATAAAATTATCTTAAAGTTTATATGGCAGGATAAAAGTCAAAATCGATCCAGTCCAATTGTCCCGTGTGGCTGTTGGTAGCTGCTGTCCAGTCAGCACCCCGCTCGCGTCGACCGCAAGCATAAGGGAACAGAGCACAGCCTCGTCCTGTGTTATATCCATGATCAGCTGTGGATTGGTCTGTTGTGATTTTCATTGGCTTATTTTTTTTTTATAATTTTTTTTGTACGTTAGATGAAGGTTTACAGAATAGTTTCTCATTAAACAGTACACATACTGTTTTATGACATTGGTTAACAACCCCACAGCATGTCAACACTCTCCCTTCTTGACCTTGGTTCCCTATTACCAGCTTTCTCGTCCCCTCCTGCCTTCTAGTCCTTGTCCCTGGACTGTTGTGCCCCTTTAGTCTCGTTTTGTTTTATGGGGCTGTCTAATCTTTGGCTGAATGGTGAACCTTGGGAGTGACTTCGTTACTGAGCTAAAAGGGTGTCCAGGGGCCATACTCTTGGGGTTTTCTCCAGTCTCTGGAAGGCCAGTAAGTCTGGTCTTTTTTTGTGAGTTAGAATTTTGGTCTACATTTTTCTCCAGCTCTGTCTGGGACCCTCTGTTGTGATCCCTGTCAGAGCAGTCAGTGGTGGTAGCCGGGCACCATCTAG